TAAATACTGTTTTTAAAAGGTAATAAATCTGAAATGATATATACTTTTTTAAAAAAAGATGCTAACAAAAAACTAAAAGAAATCCAAAAACTATGATTTCTTGGATATAACCCCAAATGCATAGGCAACAAAAGCAAAAATAAAAAAGAATGGGATTGCATCAAACTAAAAAAACCTTTTACACAGCAAAGGAAAACAATTAATAGAGGGAAGAGACAGCTCATGGATTGGGAAAAAATATTTGCAAACCATACATCTGTGATAAGGAGCTAATATCTAAAATATATAAGGAACTCAAACAATTCAATAGCAAGAAAACCATCAAATCAAAAAAATGGGGAAAGGACCTAAATAGACTCTTCTCAAAAGACATACAATACAAATGGCCAATAGATATATGAAAAAATAGTCATCATCATCAGTCATCAGGGAAATGCAAATAAAAACCACAATGAGATAACGCCTCACACCTGTCAGAATGGTTATCGTAAAAAAGGCAAAAGATAAGTGTCTGTGAGGGTGTGGAGAAAAGGGAACCCTTGTGCACTACTGGTGGAAACATAAATTGATATAGCCATTATAGAGAGAAGTACGGAAGTTCCTCAGAAAAGTACAAATAATATTACCATATGATCCAGCAATCCCATTACTGGGTATATACCCAAAGGAATTGAAATCAGTATGCTGAAGAGATGCTTGCAGTCCCATGTACACTGTAGCTTTATTCACAATAACTAAGATATGAAAACAACTTAGGTGTCCATCATCAGATGAATGGCTAAAGAAAATGTGTGCATATATACGCAATGGAATTCAGCATTAAAAAGAGGGGAAATCCTGTCATTTGCAACAACATGGATAGAACTGGAGGACATTACTCTAAGTGGAATACGCCAGGCACAAAAAGATAAATACCATTTAATCTCACTTATATGTGGAATCTAAAAAAGTTAAACTCATAAAAGTAGGGAGTAGTCTGATAGATACCAGAGGCTGGGGATGGAGGTACTGGGGAAAGGGGGGAGATATTGATCAAAGGGTACAAAGTTTCAGTTAGCAGGAGGAATAAGCTTTAGTGATCCATTACCCCGAATAGTGACTATAATAAATAATAATGCATTGTATATTTTGGAATTGCTAAAAGAGTAGATTTTAAATGTTTTCACCACAAAGAAAAAATGATAAGAATGGGAAGTAATGGATTTGTTAATTAGCTAGATTTAATAATTCTACATTGTAAACATGTAAAAATACCACAGTGTAACCCATAAATATATATAATTATTATTTTTCAATTGAAAATAAAAAGATAAAAGTATTTTTTAAAAAAAGCTAACAAACTAAAAAAATAAAATAAAAAGCAATCTGGAGAAATGGCCTTAGAGGCTTATTGGCAGAAATCATGAGGAAGTAAGGTCTTCTGTCCAGATTCTTTCTCAGGCACTACGTTCAAATTGTGTGGAAGACATACCTTAACAATTTCCTCCCCACTGACATGCCGCAGCCGTCCTAGGACATCCATAATCCGGTCTGGGAAGGCCTTCCATTTTAGTAGAGCAAGGAGGTCCACTAGAAAGCAAGCCCAAAAGATGGAGAACCCTGGTTATTCCAAGGTCAAGTGAAGTCCAGACTCTCCTAGCCAAGGTGGAATCTACAGAAAGAGAACTAGCTATGAGCATTGCAATAGCTTCTTTACTATGGAGATCAAGGCCAAAGACACATCTACGAACCCGGGATGTGTACTGTAGAGCTACTAAAACCATATGAAATCTTGTAGGCTGTTATTGCTGAGTAATTCCTCCAACTTCAAATGAAAAGAAGCCCATTACTGTGGCATCAAGAAGCAATAATTTCTTTCTCCCTTAACATACACTAGCAATGTGGAGAGAATTGAGGACAGCAGAGGGCACCACGCTGCAAGCACCATCACCTACCATTCTGGGTGAGTTTGGTAGAGGAGAGCTGAGTGGAAATAAAGAAAGACTCTTTGGTGCTGCGCTGGAAGATGAGGCTGGAGGGGATATTAGGGCAGCCATTGTAGTCTTCTTTGCAGCAGGGCAGGCCCAGGTACAGAGCATGGTTGTTAAATGTGCTATTCTCATCGCACTGCAGGCAAAAGTAGAGAACAGAGAATGTTTCCTGAGACATGCCATGTGTAAAAACCAGATCCCAGGGAATTTCTGGGTTGTTTGTTCTTATCTTCTTGAGGCTGAACCTTGGGCCTCAGGTCATCGTGAAAGAGTGCTTTCTGTTCAGAAACTTCCCAGAATAGCTCATGTGCCTTTTAAACAGAACATGGTAGAACACGTGGCCTCCACCTGGTATGCAAGTAACCTTGGGTGGCAGCTATGCTGTGACAGCTGACAGTACCATGATTTCAAATAGCAGTCTCAGAATGTACTACCCAAGACCACAGTGGCATAGAGGGGTTGGTACTAGATTTCCATCCAATGGAGTGAGATGTGGGAAACAAAAAACCTGCTGGCATTATTTGTGGGATGAAGCCCATTGCACTCAGAAGACAACAGCCTGCCCACAGCTGTCCTGTTGTCATCCACTAGCACACTACCCTGGATCCTCTGGCTCAGTGAAAATCACCTGAGAACCATGAGTGAGACCTCAGTAGGGGGGGAGGGTAGGGATGAAAGACAGCCAGGCCCCATACCTTGTACACATAAAGCTCGTGAATATCATCTGAGAGGGTAGTGCCATCGTCACGCATCAGGGGTGAGAATGCAAAGCCAAAGAGTTTCTTTTCCCCTTTGTCCTTTGCTGTGAAATCAGAGCCAAGTATTAGTTGTTTTTGTCCCCCACTTGGCTTTCCAACAGAAATTCCCCTTGTGTTTATCACCTATGTTCTGCCCCTTAACTTCTTTCATTAACTAGGTAGCAACCTGACTACAGCAATGATGAGAAATGTACTGGAATGAGTTTCCATTTATACCTCAAGGTACACAGGCTACCCAGACCCAAACAGAAACTAAACTGCTGGTCTTGATGAACCAGGGGCTCATTAAGGAGCAGTTTAATAGGTACAAAGGAAACAACCAAAGGAGAATGACAATAGACAATTTCAGACACTAGGTCAGATACTAGGAAGGGCCAATACCAGACTTATAGTTTTCAATCACTGCTTTTACAGTCCAAAGAACGGCCTCTGATGACATCCCATCTCTGAGAAACCATTTATTCCCAACTCCTCATTTTCTTGCCCCAATAATAAGAACACACTTAATTCTGTTCCAGAGGGGAGAGGGTTACATTCATATCCCTCAAAGGAATATGGAGAGAAGTCTGACTCACTAGAACAATGTCTGAACTCGAAGCGCAGGTGAGAGCCCCGGAAACGGTCAATGGGGATGGGCAATTTGATAATTTCTCCCCAACGAGGACTGTTACTGTGGTAGAGGACAAAGGAGTGGTAGGAACTCCTATTTGGCTCTCCTGAACCCAAGCTGATGCAATCCTAGAAGAGAGAGAGAGAGGAAAAAAAGATGTCATCTTCTTGGAGGGAGTGCCTGGATTTCTGCATCACTCGGATATTTTACTTTCCCCTGCCTGAAGGTCTCATTTTTGCACCAGGTAAAATCTATGAGATGACAAATGCATTTCACTTAAAATTCGATACTTTTGGAGGCAATTACATAGATAGTATAAGAAAAGCAGTCACAATTCTTGTTTTCCCTGGGGTAGAAGTAACCACATAACACTACTTAACAAATTGGAGTGAAGCTGGGTGGTGCATCTGAGTCACTAAGGTAGGCTCTTTATCCTCACTAAGAAAGGAAACAACAAGCTCCATGGGAGAAGATAACTGTATATCACATTTTACCAGATCAGGAAAAAAAATTAAATTACAAAGTAGACAGAGGCTGTTTTCTAATTTTCCAAAGCTCAATGTTAGACTGGCATTTTAGGATGCCCTTGGCTGACTTTCCTTGGATATAAACAAGTTAGATCAGATTTAACTTGACCCTAGCTCCCAAATACTGCCATGAAGATGCAGTCTCAGGACTGCCCATGTTCCTGCCCTGGAAGACAAGAAGCTTTGGGCAACACAATCAGGAGTAGCTTCCTGTTCACACAGGAGTAGTGTGACTAGCTAAGAGCTCTCCCGCCCTCAGCACTCTCCAGGCAAACAATTAACATCCCCTGGGTCCTTGAGTTGTATTTTTAAAATGACAGACAAATCACTGTTTCTACAACTATTTCAACATTCTCTTCTATTTCTATCTTGCTTTCGGAGATGATTTTGACTTATTTTACCTTTTTCCTCTGTAAAATAGGGATGATCATTTCTATTCTGCCTATCTCACAGGGCTTTTGCCAACACACAGAAACAAGGTTTGTGAAACACTGATATGCCTTCTATCAAGTGTGCTGCAAATGATGCCTTGTTATTCACCGGGAACTTTACCATGACATGACTAAAGGAAAAACTGACACACTGACAACAGAAAAACAGCCCTCCAGGTCTTTACTTTTGATGAAGAATGACAGAGGATCTTTGTACTCCATTGACTTTAATCTTCCATGGCCTGAGTTTGCTATTCTTCGTCCTATAACTTGGTACCAGCAAGTGAGTATCTAAGTCCCACCCTTGACCAAAGTGCAAATATAACTTCCTGTATTAGCTCAAGGAATAAAAAGGCAAAGTGGGACTTAATAGCAGCTACCAAAAGTAGGTGGCTCTATGCTAGGCAGAATGGCAGAAGAGGTAACATGTAGGACAGAACTACAGGGAATAGGTCTAAATTGGAGCAGGAGAGATTCAGGTTAGGCACTAGAAAGAATTTCTGCAAAAGCTATATGGCACTGGAAGTTATTATCAAAGCACACCATAGGGTTTCCTTCAAGAAAGGAAAAGACAGAGAAAAATACATATGGGGTGATTTGAGTTCAGTCCTGTTTGAAGGAAATGGTCCTCTGGAAAAAGTCCACAGAGAATTACCACAGGAGTAGCCTCCATGCCAAATGACTTACTGGAAAGTCTTACCTTCAAGATTTCTCCATCCGCATAAAGTACATACATGGTCACTTCAATATTCTTTTGAACACTCTTTCCTCCTCTCTCGAAATCTCCCTTCTCCAGGGTTAGGTACAGGTCATTGCGGATATCACCTGTGGGGAAAGAAATGCCATGTCCTCACGACCACAGAAGCCATGCTACCCCATTTGCATGGAGGACCATGATAATATTTGGATCCTCTGGGGTTCAGGTGGGTGCTCAGGGCATTCCAAGCTTGGTTAATAATGATAGACATTCTACCAGTATCAGTGCAACAGTACCCAGGTTGGTTAGTTATGTGCCCTCTAAGTCTGAATTCTAAAGGTTCTAAGGGTTCAACACAGCTTGTCCAGGGTAGAGAATCTTTTCTCAGATTGTGGGTGCTCAGATTGCTTAGTCTATCTCCTCTCCAGGAGAATGGCTGTAATGTAAGCCTCCTGAAGAGCAAAGATTTTAGAATCAACAGGAATAACACTTATTTTAATCATACCTATGCTTTAACTACTAATCATTCCTCTTCTCCCTCAAAAAATTTCTCTCTTGTAGGTTTATAAATTTTATAAGTTTCATAGGTTTTCTTTGTGCAACCCCCAACCCTTCTGAGTCTGACTAAAGGATACACTACCTCTCCTTCCTTCTGGAAGCTTTGTTCCAAATCCCATTCCCTGCTGGGATGCAGGCAAGGTCACTGGACTACCTGTTACTTTTTCTTCTTTTTGTTTGCAAGTGCCCTGGGAGCAGATCACACCCCAGAAGCGCAGGTGTTAAGGCAGTGGGGCAAAAATCTGTTATGCTCTTGTTGTTTCTCTTTACTCTGACTCCAGCATATTTCGCCCATCTTTGCTGCTTAAGACTGGGCAGGAGAAGCTCAAACTATAAGTCCAAAATGACCCACATCACATCTGCCTTTTTAGGGGGATGAATTAAAGGGGGACAAGGTTGCCTATTCATATATAAGAAGAGTTTATTTAGGCTGCTCTAACTTGCTAAATCTGTAACATGACCAGTTTTATTCAAATATTCTAAATAAGGGCTTTTGACTTTCAAAAAAACACAGTAAAGGCTATGGGGGAAGAAAACTTCAAAGGAAGAAAATGGCAAAGGAAAACAGGTTAAGACCAAAGTGAAGATGTGTTAGCAGCCTTAAGAAACCAAATGAAAGGTGATGAAACAATTAATTTGCAAAGCAAGCCAATTCGGAAGCCAGATATTCTTTCCACTTCAGTTCTTAGAAAAATTGGTATATCGAAATATGTTTATTACCTGGAATGACAATGACAGAAACAGAGTTTGTTTTTGGTTAGCAAAATGAGCTTTCTGGTTTGGTCAGAGATACATGACAATGCTCTTTTTTCTGTGCTGACTTCCTCCCTAATTGTGGAAGCATCTAAATGTCTCTCATGTATGAAACAGGGATAGACCAGGCCTGGCATATATATGAGGCTTTCAAGGTCTTCATGACTAGTCCTTCCATTCTTCAGGTCACCTTCCTATCCCAGGAGTGCAATCTTGCAATCACAGTTATTTGGTTGCATAATGAAGGCTGTCAAAGTAACGCAGCTCAAGTAGGGAAGAGCAGCCTATGACAAGTAATTAATTATTCTCTGAGAGCCCTGAGAATTCTCTCTGATGTGTGAAAGCCATCCTGTTCCTCAAACATGCCGCCCTGGGCTACCATGAAGGGAAGAGGAAAATATGTTCTGAAAAATCATACACAAATGCAACTGCTGCATGTGTGGGATAGCCTTGAGGGTGTCCATCTTTCAGTGTGCAGACTTCATGGACTCCTGGGTTGGGTAGAGCCTCTGCTTTGAATTCTGATGAGTTTGGACATCAGCTTCCTTTGGACATCACTGCTTGGGCCCACCTACTATACCATTCAGAACACTCAGGTGTGCAGGGTAGGGTGGGGTGTGATGGGGAAGATAGGTACAAAGAGAAAGGAAACTCAATTTGCTACAGTCAGGACAGAGGCCGAATAAAATCAGTTCTGAAAGTAAAATTCAAACTTAACTGGGAACTTTACTATGGGTTATTGCTATTATAATGGGATAGATCAGAGTTGGTTACACTTGGAATTTTTAGTAATTGAAATAGAGCCTTCTTATAAAAGCCTTTTAGTTACATATTAGCTTTCCTATGGAATTTAAGTAACTATTCAATTTCTAGACTGATTTAGCACAAAGTGAATAGTCTAGAAAATTTTAATGCCTGATCTAAAGAATAGGTGCTTGGTTTAAATATTACCCTGGTTTGTACTCTCTGGAAGTTATCCTCAAGATAATCCATGTGGCTTTTAAAAGTATGTATCTGCTGGCTACCAGCAAGATTATTCTTTATACACTTTTAATTTATGTGGCTCTATATAGGAATAAACATGTCCTTCAAATGAAACATTTCCAAACTTTTCCTAGAAATATATAAAATACTAACATAAAACTAAGCATCGTCTTGAATGAAGATTGTTAATCACAGAATTTGATTTGTGTTGATTTTATAGAGTGTGCTCACAGTTTCTAGGCAGGGCAAGGCAAAAGGCCAATTTCAAAATGAAAGGATTGAGCTAGATATTTGTATAGTTTTCATTCTTTTTAAAACAGAATGCCCCTGGTGATCACCTAGCTGAGAAAATTTATCAATACAAGTACCATATCCTTCAAGTTATAGATTGAAACAGCGTGATTTCATCAGGTCTTTAGCTGCTCTTTATTTGGAGAACAGACCTGCCTAGATCAGGGCTCTTCTTAGTCAGAATAGGTATTAAGCTGCCTATGGGTTGCAATTTTGCAAATTATGGTTTCAAGAATGGCACTTTATGAAAGTTGCTGGGGGTAGGGTCTTCTTGTCAAAATCTCTCTGGGGATCATTTAAATTGAGATCTCCACTGAGTCCCCTGGAACTAGGAGAAAACCTAATAAAAAGCAAATGTGAAAAGCTCCTGGATCTAATGACCCAGATCTGCCTTAAAGATAGCCTCCCAGGGTTCGTCTGCTCTCCAGCTGTTGCTATTGCATGTTACATGTTCACAAAACCTACCAGTGGAATCATGCCTTTGGGTTAAGGCACTGTGTCCAGGAGGCTCCTGTAAACTTTAGTACCAACTGCCAGAAAATATACCAGGAAAGGATGAGGATAGGCATGTTACAATGAGAATGAGAAAGAGAAAGCATGAGTGGTGGTTTTGGAGGTAGTTTGCAGACCACTGCCTGGCTAGTTGCATGTGAATCACCTGGGAGCTTGCTAAAAACAAATTTCTAGCATACACTCCTTGAGATTCCAGTGGGTCTTGTGTGCATATATTTAAAAAAAATCACCAAGTGATTCTGATGCTCTCCATGGTTTAACACTAGGAAACCAGAACATGGGGGTCTGCTGGGAGGACACTGATGAAGTTTGGCTGGGGCTAGGGGGCTGGGAAGCTCTTAGGCACCATGGAGGAGTGCTGGGAGAATGAGGCTTTTCTCTAGGGAGGAGGAGTAGGTATTGCTGAGGGTGGCCCTGATGATGGGTCTCTCTTTTAGGAAGGGCCTTGGGCAGCCTCACTTCCCTTTGTTGGGTTCCCTCTGCTTCCTAAGGTTGGCAGAACGTCTTACAGCATCAGTAATCCTTACATCTCAGCGTGCTTAATGGTCTGGTGACATGCAACAGAGTTTTTTGAATGAAGATGAATGAACACAGTTTTTTCTTATAAGAGGGTCTCAGAATAGTTTCTGCCCCTTTCACAATTTCGCATGATGGCCAATGCCAGCTGTTGGTACAGCTACAGGTCAGGGAACTAGCTGCTTAAGTTTGCAGGGGTCGGCAAACCTTTTCTGTAAAAGACCAGAGAGTAAATATTTTAAGCTTTGTGGATCACAAATGTCTCCATTGCATGTTCTTTGTTTTTACAACCCTTTCAAAATGTAACAAACCATTCTTAGCTGGCAAGCAGCACAAAAACAGACTGCCAGCTGAATCTGGCCCATGGGCCATAGTTCGTTGATACCTGGCTTGGAATGTTAATGTGTGAACAGCTGCAATGCATGGCAACTACACATCAAAAATACAGATTCCTGAGTCTACACAAACAGCTATTGGGGAGGAGCAAGGTAATGAACCTTAGGCTATCTTATTATGACAAGGATTGGTCTGAAATACTCTGAGGTCCTTATGGAGAGAGAGGTCTTAGAAGGAAACAGTGCTGTTCAGCCACCAGAAATCTTAGAGCGCTACGGAGCACAGTGACAGAATTTCTGTGTTTCATCGCATCCAACTGCAACAGGTCTAACCTTCTGAAGACCTGCATCCTAGTACGACTGTGGAGAAACAGAGCTCATGATGTGTTTGCAAGTCTCTTTTGAGAGTAGTGTCCACAGAGGCTCCAGAGCATTTGTTAGCAAGAGAATCTCTTGCCAGATACTCCAGCCTTACTTGAATTTTGGGGTCATATATCTCACTAGTTCCAACCTATGTGGAATTCTATCCCTGTAGAAATGATCCAGGAGGGCCCAAACAAGTTGATTTGGGTTCTTTATTATGTTCATGTTCCTTGTGTATAAATTACTCACACTACATATTAGGAGCTTTGGGTTCAATACAGTACTTAGTATTATATTATTTATACCTTGCCTCATTCTAGATAGGATTAGGAGGGGCTTCTGTGGATGTGCTTTCTTCCCTTAAGATCATGTAAAATGAGAACTGACTTTCTCCTAGTAGACACAGCAGCCTACATGGGATGGTGCTAATTCTATCTCTTGGAGGAATGGAAGGAAGCTTCTATTCTAAATACAGAGATGTTAGCTACCATTCAAGTTAGATGGTTTTGGGTACGTGACCAATGTTTTATTTTGTAGTAGTTCTTATTTTCTTGAGGAAGAGACAAAAAGAAAAAAAAGCTCATGGAAGGACTTCTTTAGAGTAACCAGAAAAGATGAGCTCTTTATTTTTCTCACCATGTCTTTAGTGTCACACTTCTTGTTTATACCACCACAAAGTCAGTGATGCTTTTGCTGTAACAGGATGACAGGTATGGGCATAGTGTGAAATCACTATATATAGCTACTCCTTTCTTGGGTCAGGGATGTGATGATCTTCCAACCTCTTGTGGGACCAGATGTGATCATTCCTAAACCATCCCTTAGAGACAATGATAAAGCCTCATTTGACATTCAGATTGACCACAGTCCTATGAACCCACTTGTGGTAAAAAGTTCATCACTACCCTTGAGGAGAGCTTTCTTCCAAAAGCCATGTCTCTGTGTGCTTGCCCTTCATATAAGGTGTGTCCCAATAGAGCTGAAAACAGAAGCTTTCTGCCTTTTGGATTATTTGTGACTTGGGATAAGCACTATTCCTTTTCTTTTCAATAGCTGTAACTGATCTGTCTCATATAAAAATCCTTTCCTGTATCTACACCTCAAGCTTGTTGAGATTTTCTAAATATTCCAATATGTCCTCAGTTTCTTCAGATATTAATGAACACCCAGAGCAATACACAGTGTTCTAGGATGGGCTGGTAGCTTTCATTTTTATGTCTTGTCAGTTACCTAAGAAGGTGAGGCTGATGAAGGATTAATAATGTACATGACACCACCCCATTATTGCAACATTCCATGAAACAAATGAAGATGAGAACAAAGCAGGCAATAAGCAGACAGGACACACAAAAGCCAGAACTTACGCCCAACTATCTTCATCTCTGCATCAGAGAGAAAGGGGCGAGAATGAGGGGACAGCACAGAGAGAAATAAGAACAATTAAAACAAACAGGAAAAGAGAAAGAAACATCACTTGCAGGTCAGTGATGAAGCATGCACTTTTTATCAGGGGTCAAAGAAAAAGAGTGTTTTTGAGCATGAGGGCAAGAGGCAGAGGGTCCTCTAGAGGTGTGGTCCCCAAACCCTGGGCTGTGGACAGGTATCAGTCCATGGCTTGTTAGGAAGTGGGCCACACAGCAGGAGGTAAGTGGTGGGCCAGTGAGGGAAAAAGCTTCATCTGTATTTACAGCTGTTCCCTATTGCTTGCATCACCGCCTGAGCTCCGCTTCCCCTGCCAGCCCCCTACCAGTCTGTCGAAAAATTGTCTTCTATGAAACCAGTTCCCGGTGCCAAAAAAGTTAGGGACTGCTGCTCTAGAGGGATGCTATGCCTGCATAGGTGCTTTCTAATAGGCATGTTCAGGGCAATCCAGAAGGCAGCAGTAATTCCCTCAGCTCTAATTCAAGGAGGGAAAAAATATCCCTAAAGCACAGCATTCTCTAGGACATAATTCTCAAAGGGAGTCCCAGACCAGCAATATCACCATCACTTGAGAGCTTATGAGAAATGCAAATTGTCGGGTCCTACCCCAATGGTACTGAATCAGAAACTCTTGGGGTGAGCCCAGAAATCTGCGTTATTCTAAGCCCTGCAGGTGATTCTGATGCATACTAAAGTTAGAGAACCACTGCTCTAGGAAAAAAAACTTAGTCATCAGTTAAAACAACATATTAATCATAGATGGACTTCTTACGACAAGACAGAAGACCATTTAACTAATATGAAACTTTGCCCACATCACCCACAGTCAATGATAACCTTAGAAATTCAAGGCTCAGAAAGCAGGTTAAAACATTGTACTTCACACAGAACCATGACAGAGTCCTGTATTCCCAATGACTCCAGCACATGGACTTTCTAGGAAAGCTAAGAAATATTATAAAAAGAGCCATAGAAAGTAGTGCATATCTCTGCTAGCTTAGACAAGGTCTGGAAAGGGGTACAAGCCCCTTATTGAGCAAAAGGTTTTAAATCACTCCTTTCAGGTTATAGTCTTTTGGCTGAGAGTTTTCTTCAAAGTTTTATTATGGTTAGTCCTGACATGTAAGTCACAGGGAGAAATGTTAATATCGACTCATTTACCTGGGACACCTGTCATGCTCATCTTTCCAGCCCATCTTCTTTAAAAATCTAGGAAGGACTAAAAGCGTGCTATAGTGTTCTTAGCTTTTGTACATAACTAAAATGAATTTGGAGGGAAGGAAGAAGTACCCACAGAAATATGGTGATCAACCAACAAAAGGCTGTAGGTGCTTAATTTCAGAAAATCAAGCTAAAATGGCTAAAATTCCCACATCTATTTGTTCTTCTATAATCTAAGATGGCATTTCCTGGGTTGGCTCCCAGAACACCAGCATCTCTGTGGCCTCTTGCTCATTACCTTACCGTGGGTCATGAGCAGAGTTGGATGGTGGTATATAGTCAGGGCCTCAGTTGTGGCACAGAGTAGGATATCCTCTGCTCATAGCATCCATGTGGCGTGTATGTATACAACCATGGAAAGCAACGGTGGACTGTTGGAAAGACCTTTTTAGAAATGGCATGTTAGATACTGGTGTGGCTAGAGCCTGTCCGAACTCTTCCTTATAGCTCTGCCATCATGCTTTGACGAGAACCTATCGGGGCCATCCTGACAAAAAAAGATCTCTTCAAGTGAGTGGCTGATAGTTTCTGCCAAGTGCTTGATAGTTTTAAAATAAGGAACACAGTTTATGAATAATTCTATTTCTTCCATTTAATCTAATTTCTGAGACTTGTTGAAGTGTTGAAATGCTCAGTTACTGACATGATTTCTTTCCTTGTTCTTTCTCCTTGTGTTTATGTGTCAAGAAGTTGGAACTTCTTGTAACCTGATCACACCAGCACTGTGAGGGCTGAAGGACTGCTGCAGTCCTAGTAAAATATTCCCACAAATGAGGAATGAACCAGCTGCAGGTGAAGGAGTGGCTAGGATTTGGAAGATTCATCAAGGGACTTCTTATCACAGTCATTATTTTCCAAGACAGGCTGATCACAATGTAAAACACTCCTGCATATTCTTCCTGTTGCTTCAGCAGGACCTGCAGGTGCAGTCCTACCAACTTGTCCAAGGATGGCACACCACTCTGAAAATATACTGGAGTGCATTCAGGAGGATCCTAGTTGTTAACAGCCCACAATCCTGGGAGTCACCATCTGTGTAAAAAGCTCTTTCCTCAGGAAGAGAAAGGGTGGAGGAGGGACAGTTTATGCACAAAGAACTTCTTTCTGCCTGTGAATCAATCCTTACTTTCAGCTACAGCACTCAGTACTTCAAAGGCAGACAACCCAGGAAGCAGCACACTTGTGGCCCCACCTGAATCTCCCAGGACTGCCCAGTGTCTCTGCCTTGTAGAGCAAATCATATGATGATCACTTAGCTGCCCAGGGGAGGTAAAACCCCCTTAACCTTAGCTTGCCTTACCAAGGCCTGAAATTGTGTATTTCCATAGTCATGTCCAGCGTAGACAGAAATTATTTACAAACCTGTGTGCCAATAATACAAAGAGATACAGCATATTCCAAAAAATATTTCTTTCCATAGATTAGGTTTTGGCAATGTAACTTGAAATCAAATTTCACTTAAATATATTTCTGACTGAAGCTTGTCCTTTCTAGTTTAATCCCTTTCTTATTCACTTGGCTTTAATCCCATGAGTATGTGAAGGCTATTGGGAAGGTAATGTCCAAATCTTAGAAAATCAAAGTTCTTAAAAGAAAGGAAGGACTTTAAGTACACCTCTTATAATATATTATTCCACTACATAAGCCTAGGTATCTAATTTTAAAAAGATCTCCAGGTCAATTTTGGTAACCATCTATTCTTTTGTCAAAGCCACATTGCCAAGAAGCCAGAGACTATGCTTGTGCTCTTCTTCTCCTAATTACCAGGCTCACAGAACTGACGAATGGTGTCAGGACAGCATGGGAGAAATGTCCTATGGAGGTCATCACCTCTGCAACAGCCAGATAGGTGTTTTTCATAAGCATGAAGTCTCCTCAGCATTTAGAGATAAACATAATTGATCTAGTGGCTTAGGTCTACCATCCAAAAGACCCTCCTGTGTACATGAGTAGATGAACACTATGCATAGCAGCTTTCTCTGAATTCACAATGTCTGTGGAGAGAGAATGAAGGAGACAGAAATAAATCTGGGCATAGCCTGGAAAGTTGGAAGGCAGCTGAAACCCATCATATTGGCCTTCTCTATGCTCAGGCCACACTACCGTGGGTATGTGCTGGCAAATGTTTCCAACAAGAGGATTTAGTGAAGCACCATGAAGTACTCCAAATAGGTGATATTTAAAGTAGTCACAATCAGTTCGGTCTAGCCTCACTGGCCCTTTTAAACAAAAGCAAACAAGCTTTTAGCAGAACATTAAAACTCAACTGAGAGGGTAAGTTCACTCCTCCTGGAATCTATCCAGACAACTAGACATTTGCCTGTCCTCCTCTCCCTCCTCTTATTCATATCTTCTCTGGTTATCAGACCACCTGACATCTATCTGAACCATGCCTCCCCACCTCCTTCACTCTCAACAGCCCCCTGTGCTTTGATGCTCCATTTGGACCCACTTCTCTAGCCCTATCCACATCTTCCTGACTAGGAAACATGGACCTGGTTTTGACCTACTGCAACCACACTTAAGGGTCAATGCATTCCTACTTTTTTGCCTGAGCTCTCCATTGGGCATTAGGTGAAGGGTGTGAGACAATTCCTGAGAAACTGGCCAGGGAGTACTATTCACAGTGCTTAATTTATACCATTTTTCCAATCTATTTTTATGATACATTAAAATGTATATGCTATTCCTACACAAATGGGATTCACTGGTATTGCAGGCACATATTTTGGTATATTCTTCCCCTTAAGCGGGAAGTTCTTGTGAGGCAATTCTCTTCTAAGAAATGTGATGGAAGAGAGGGTAGAAAAAGGCATCTCCATGAAGAGTTCTGTGTTAGTTCCTACCATCCAGCCTCCGTAGGAGACAACAAAGCCCATCTGCTGTACTGTCATATTGCACTGGTGAATATGATGCGGGGGCTTCTGGAAAAGAACAAATGCCTATAGGAGCCAAAGGGGTCACTGGCTGCAGAATACAGTCAGAAACCTGACTTGGGCTGTAGAAACTTTACTGGCTGCAGGGCTTCTCCACAGCATAGTTCATGACCTGCTCAGCAGAGGAGCATTGGATGCCATCCTCCTAACCCATCTCCCTTCCCAGCCCCAAGCAGGTCTGCCTACCTGGCATAATGACATCAGGAAATCCCAATTTTCTTGTTATTGCCAATCCCCTATTAAATATCATGGGATTTTCTCTCCGAATCTGTTCCATGTCGCCACGAAGAAGCTGTAGAGCAATGATAAGACCTGCAAAAACGAAAGTATTTCCTTACTCAGAACCATACTGCCACCCTGTTATGTAGTACTAGAAAAAACATTAAAAGTCACATTCTTCAGAGTAATATGTGCAAAGTTCAGCATTTTCCTTCTTGCTTCAGACTCCATGATGATTTCAGACCCTCCAGATAATCTTTGTTTAAAAACTTGGGAGAGGCCGGACGCGGTGGCTCACGCCTGTAATCCTAGCACTCTGGGAGGCTGAGGCGGGTGGATCACTCAAGGTCAGGAGTTCGAGATCAGCCTGAGCAAGAGCGAGACCCCGCCTCTACTAAAAATACAAAGAAATTGGCCAAACAACTAAAAATAGAAAAAATTAGGCGGGCATAGAGGCACATGCCTGTAGTCCCAGCTACCCGGGAGGCTGACGCAGGAGGATCGCTTGAGCCCAGGAGTTTGAGGTTGCTGTGAGCTAGGCTGACGCCACGGCACTCTATCCCGGGCAACAGAGTGAGACTCTGTCTCAAAAAAATAAAATAAAATAAAAACTTGGGAGAATCTGTAATGTCCCTTCAGGTGAGCTGGCTTCTGGCTCATTTCTTGCACCCTTGGAGTACTATACAAGGTTAGAATGTTCTGAAATTCCCTCCTCCACTCCACTCTCCTGAGGGTCCCCACTGCAGCCACTGCGTAGAAGGCTGTAAAAGGTCAAGCTTGTATGGAGTTAGGAAGTATTCCCTCTGAGATTGTGAATGAGATTAGCTGTTAACAGGATAACGAATTTAGGTGCTGATCTATGGGTTGGCAGGAGGCACCCTCAATGATCTGTAAACTTGGGAGTTGAACAAAAGATGAATATCTATAGAAATGAAGGACTAAGGTGTTATGATAGTGAGTATGATTAGAAGAATAGCAGCTGGAATGAAGACAGGAGCAAGCAGAATTATAGAATAAGAATGATATGGGAATGGGGAGTGGTGAGGAGATGGAGAAGCAGAGAAAGAGAGAAGTCAGAAGAGTCATAGATATTTTATCTGGCAGATAAAAGTATTCCAGTAATTAGGAATATGCACTGTCAGAACTAGGCCAAGGGAAGAAATATGGTTCTACTGCAGCCCAGACAGAACCTCAAGATTATCTCATTGCTTCTGCTAACCTCATGAATCCCAAGAAACCCTGGGATTACAAACATGGTATCCCAAGTGTCATTAACACCAGTATCACAATGTCTGAAAAGCAAACATGTTGTATTCCAGTTGACATTCTGGTTAGATAATCAGTGTTTGGGATTAGATCACTCTAGAGTAATTTCTTACAGCTTAATCAATGGGTAGACTAAATTACAATAAGTTTATGAACCTGAAAGGCTGGGGGCCAGAACCAAGACCACAATGATCTCTGCAGATAACAGCTTGTGCTGTATCGACCCTTCCCTTATAACCCCAGCTCATTCATCTTCATTGTCTTTAAACAGCCAGAAAATCATATCCTCTGGGTAAACAGAAATCCACTGACCTAGAAATCCTGACAGCCCAGCATGTAGCAAATAGCTGAGGATGGGATAGTCTCCAGAATTTGAGGGGGTGGTGGTTGGAAGGCAAAGGAAAAAAAAATCAGTGGGTACACTCTTATTTCCAAGAATTTACTAAAGTACCCATTGACTGCTTTTCATCTGCATTTTCTGAGCAAACAAAATGGCCTAGAGATGCAAATCTAAACTTGTGAAGATGGAGACTGAAGGTGCTGGGAGAGTCACAGCTAGCTACCCAAAGGGATCCTGAGCAACTGCCCTCCACCTCTAAACATAACTAATAAGAGGAAAGCTTCAGTTTACACAAGAGATCAAGTGAAAAGGCACATAAAGAAAGAAATCACCAATGGAGATTATAAAAACTACATCTCCTTTTGTAGGAGATCCTGGAACTTCTGGGTTTCCTTTCTGGTTTTGAAAACATAGGTTATTGAAGCACATGCCAAATAATGCTTAGGCATGGTCTTCAGGGGAAGAGAACCTCCATAAACAGTTCCGAAAAACAACCCACTCGCCCACCCAGTATGCAACCATTCCCTTGGCAACACTTGATGTTCTACCTACCCATCATCTCAATGGGGCCCTCAAGTCAAAAAACTTGCAAATAACCAAGTCTATACAATTTCTCTGTTATAATCTGATCTTCCTGATTACCTGACACAAGAAAACCATTTTCTTACTAAACCTTATCTCAAGTTAAAGACTGGTCCATAAAAAAGTAACTGGACAAATGGACACCTATGTGGAATAATGGAGGTTCAGCAACTTGGCTTTGTCCCCGTGTCCCATTTCCTTCTTGTGGAAATGCTGGATGAGGATTAATTATGTAAATTAATCTCAGCCCAAGATATGGAAATAAAACTGTAGTTAATAGTCATTTAAAAATTAATAGGACTTGGGCTGCCCTGGGAACAGGCATGGGGGTGGGAGGGGGAGGCTCAGTTTCAAGGCACCTGGTGGCCCAGATAGATATGGGGGGCTGTGGCTGGGTGCCCTCCCCTAGTGCCAGGTTCCCAGGGGAGGGAGAAAGGGAAATGGATGCCTTCTCAGCATTCGAGGTCCCTGCCCTTGGCCTCAGTGGAGACTATTCCTTCTGCTCCCTGCCCCACTATGCCTGGCCTCCTTGCAGCCCAGGAGCCTTGTGTGGGAGGGCAGCCAAGTTACTGTCCTGCCCACAGGTGCTTGTCAGGGCCCCTTTTTGGTGCCAGGGAAAAGAATTTATAGATTAGAGTCAGATCCCCCTACAATTCAATCCCTGTGGTGCCTGGGTCTACCGTCGGCTTCCTAGTCTGTAAAATGGGAAAAGGAATACCCACCACACACAAAAATTAATAGAAACTTGTGTGCCAAATGCTTTATTTGTCTTCATTTGTCCTTTTTTTTTTTTTTTTTGAGACAGACTCTCACTCTGTTGCCCAGGCTAGAGTGCCATGGTGTCAGCCTAGCTCACAGCAACCTCAAACTCCTGGGCTCAAGCGATCCTTCTGCTTCAGCCGTAGCTGGGACTACAGGCATGCGCCACCATGCCCGGCTAATTTTTTCTATATATTTTTAGTTGTTCAGCTAATTTCTTTGTATTTTTAGTAGAGACGGGATCTCGCTCTTGCTCAGGCTGGTCTAGAACTCCTGAGCTCAAGTGATCCACCTGCCTCAGCCTCCCAGAGTGCTAGGACTACAGGCGTGAGCTACCGCGCCAGGCCTTCACTTGTCCTTAATGACCTTCATGTTGCTGGAACTGCTAAAAGTTAAGTCTGTGGCTACCCACCTAAGAGGCCATCAATGGAAATGAAGAGCCACATCAATTAAAGTTGCATATAAAAGAGTTATCACTGAATGATACATTTACTCTCTGCGCTCAAACCCAATGTAGCAATTCCTTCTGCATTTTTATATGCTTTGACTTGAAGGAAAAGCATTAATAATTTTTGAAACAGAATTGCAAGGCTTAATGAAATATCTATGACGTGTAACAAAGATGGGTAACAATTTGTAGCAAAGTAAGTTAACTTTTTATAGAGATTTATCTTTAATTAAGGAAACTAATAAAGACCTGAACTACTCCTTGAGCAATCTATAAAATTCTCTGATAGGAAGACCCTAGAGTCCAGCAGTGGAAAACCCAGACTCAGAAGCCTGGCAATTGACTAGAAAAGACAGTGGCCTGGAGTCTGAAGACCTGGGCTCCACCCTGGCTCAGCCACTAAGTCATTTCACTGAGCTTCAGTTTCCCCATTTATTTAACGAGAGGGGCCAAAACAGGTAATTTCCAAGGTCTCAACCAGATTCTAACACACTTCAAAAAGCAGCTGCCTGTTTCTCCTCCTGACTTTTGTACAACTTCATAGAGACCTCTTCTCACTAGAGCCATCCTACCTGAGGCTCTCTGAAATCTGTGGTGCCCTAGCACAGAGGTCTTTCTAACACTTTTTCAGTGGCCCATGTCTGTGAGGTCTGGACAAAAATCACAAACACTGAAGATGCCACAGTCCCTGCTCACTCTGGGAAATGAAACAAGACTCACCATCTTAACCTGGTGAAGTGATGGTGGAAACTGCTCTTTCACGTTTTTGGTTTTTTTTTTTCCATGTATTATGACCACCATCTCTCTTTGTAAATGTTCTCCCTGTTTTAATCACATCATGGCCCCAAGGACTTGTAGCCAAGGGCCCCTCTTTATAAATCAAATAAGTAAATAAAACAAACAACATGACAAATATTGATGTGAATGGTAGTTTTCCAAATTGCTAGTAACTTTCCTATATTTTCAAAAAAAAGAATATTTGTCTCTTGCCTTAGCCTAGTTTTAACACACTGCATGGAGCTCTTTGGCATCCAGGCATATACATAAGGGAAAACTGTAATTTAAAAATAGAGAGAGAGGCTTTCAGGGCCCCCACACTAATAGAGTTTTAGAGAAATCAAGTAGTTCCAGCTGAAAGTCTCAATCTTTGCAGCCTCTGGTGTGGATCTCCTCTAATGACCAACTCTCCTGGTTGAGCATCTGCTGACCCCAACAGAGAAAAAACAAAGTTCTCTTTACCAAGTACCACTTGTTAGAAACTGCCATGCCTTGCAGTGACTTTATACTGTCATTTAAGGCAAACTTAAAATTTCCAACAAGGCCTATGAAAGCTAAAACAAAGAAGGTTATATAAAAGAAGTTATGAAATGATTTAGAGGTAAGAACTGTCAGGAGAAACACGGTTCTATGTAAATTAGATAGCTATCTGCAAGGGTATATAAAGGCTCATAGGCTTTTAAATAGTGATTCTAATTTAATCAAGCAATTAATGTTCAACTTAGAAAATAATCTAAGTGTAGAATTGCATTGTGATTTAGATAGAAATTATTTAAACAGAGCTTTAAAAGAAAAGAAGGGAAAAGGAAAAGAAGTTGAGCGTAGATGAAAACTGCCTTGAAATAAAGATTCTCTATTCTAGTTCCAGAATGACTGATATTGGTGGACTAATTGATTCTCATTAGGGTCAGGCTTTCAGGAATGGAAAGAGAAGCGAGTGATATCAATATATATATCTGGCTAGATGTGTAGTCTTTGTTCAGGAAAGCACAGACTTCACAATGCAACAAACTCTGCCAACACTTTTGCGCACTTCGGATTTAAACTGGAACTCAAATTACCTATCAAAGCACAGGGAATCCATCATAGAAAGAACAGAAAATGTATTCTAGTCAGCAGATATTAGGGAGGGCCTCAAATTATTACAAAAGAATTAGTAGAAAGTGCCTAGGCAGGAGAATAAACATCTGCAGGAAACTGAACTTTACATATAGCAGCCAATAAGCACTGACCAACTGAGGTGCTGTATGATTAGCACTGCAAATGCAACACAAAATTTTCTTTTTTTTTTTTGAAATAATTAAACCATTTAACATTTATTAGAGCCAGAGTCAGAACATGATTATATACGCCATATCCTCTTTTACACAAAATGCATTTGAAGTGTTTCTGAAAACTACACATAAAAAAATTTAGAGAGTGATATATTTTTAATATATCGGGATAATATGCTAATATTTTTAAGAGTTACGGCAGTTTTTGTTTTTATAAAGTAAAGCACACTTGGATAGTCAATGTGGGTTCATGTGGGCCTAATGGTTTGGCCTATTTCTTGACAAATCTTGCTTTCAAAATCTCATTGACACGACCACTTTCTCTGCACATGATTTTTTACCGGTGCCTGGGAGAAACGTGGATCTCTTCAATTATCTCATTAACTCACAACGCCGGGAACCGGCAAGCTTAGGCAGACATCAGTACTGGGTCTTCCCTGACTGGGGCAGGCGGAGGTCCATTCCTGGCCTCAAAATACGGTGGTTGGAGGGGAAGAGTGCTCGGCACGGAGATGTCCAGTGAAGACTGCTGTCAACAGTACAACTACACAGCTACGTTTAAAACACGATGCTGTGAATTTTTACAGGCAAACGTAGATCCCTACGGCTAGATCTACTCTATTTCCCCACGAGAACATGCAGGAAGGTGGACACGGAGGGGAACAAGTGCACTCTTCGTGGTACGGCAACTGCAAACTCCGTCAGCAGGACGAAACGTGTCAATGGGAGGGAAGAGGACGGAGCGAGTGAGTGGGGACACTCCCGTCCTGCCTCCAGACAAAGGGCTAGAATGGATGCCGTGCTGAGGCGCTGGGAAGGGGACACAATGAAACAACTTGGGGAGGAGGAGCAGGACAGATTCGACAGGATTCTGAGCAACTGGAATCCTTTGTGCTCGGTGTTTTCCGCACATTTAAATCGACAGTAGGGACAGCGGCAGGGACAGAGAATGGTCCCCAGGGCATGGCTCACTTCAGGCTCCTTTCTCAGGGCACTTGAAATTGTGGGGCAGACATGATTATTTCTGAATTTTATTGATCTTATAAGTTTAGAGAAAACTATCTTCAGTTCTTATTTTGACACAAAATGGATGCATTTGATTTATCTATTAGAAATGTGTTTCAACAACACAAAATTTTCTAGCCAGAGAAGTACATCACCATGGCTGGCGCTGGGGGCAGAGTACTTGGCACTGGACTTTCGGATGATGTTCTCATGGATCTGGGACCACTCACTCTCATTGTTGCACCTGAAACAGAAAGAAAGGTGTTATGGTGCTCAAGTATTTTACACATTTGGTCTGATGTCCCAATATGTAACACTAACTTTTAAGGAAAAAGGATTCCTCATTTTCCTAAAGAAATGAGCATATGTTTAATTAAATTAGACAAGGCTTGTTTCCTGTTGGGCAAAGGGTAGAAACTCTAAAATATTATCTCTAGAAATATATATATATTTTTTTGAGACAGAGTCTCACTGTGTTGCCCGGGCTAGAGTGCCGTGGCATCAGCCTAGCTCACAGCAACCTCAAACTCCTGGGCTCAAGCAATCCTTCTGCCTCAGCCTCCCTAGTAGCTGGGACTACAGGCATGTGCCACCATGCCCGGCTAATTTTTTCTATATATTTTTAGTTGTCTGATTAATTTCTTTCTATTTTTAGTAGAGACGGGGTCTCGCTCTTGCTCAGGCTGATCTCGAACTCCTGAGCTCAAACAATCCGCCCGCCTCGGCCTCCCCGAGTGCTAGGATTACAGGCGTGAGCCCCCGTACCCGGCCTAGAAATATTTTTTAAGTGGCAAAATTCTCTCCTCTATAAAGTAGCACTGCCGCATATGAAAAGTTATTTTTTTCTAGCCCCCCTTACACACACACACACATACATACACACGCATGCACGCACCCAGCCCCAAGCCCCAGAGGAAAATTCCTGATAGAGAAAGAACAGTTCCTGTCAACAAGTGCTACTGTTTAGAAACTGCTGTGCCATTGGCTTTATACTGTCATACAACTCTCATTACACTGGCCACAGAGAAAAGTCTTGCTAAGCTCAGGGGAATGGGAATACCATTTGCTTGTAGCTGTATTTCAACCAGACCAAGATAAGAAGAAAAGCTTGGGAGACCAGTGAGTTTGGTTCACTGCGAATTCCTCTGTGGTCAGGGGGAAGGAGGGCTTAGCTGAGAAGTCTGGATGCCTAAATATGTAAGGATAAAGTTCTTTTCTAGGGACTATAGGGTAGGGACAAAAGAGAGAATGAAGGAACAACACTGCACTCCTACTAAGTTTTGATGTTTTAGTGTCTTCCCTCTAAAGGGCAATTCTAAGAGAGTTGCAACCACGCAACCACTTGGAGCAGAGCTTAGGAACAGAGACTAGGTATTCCTCATCCTAATGCAGACACTTTGATAAAACAGTTGGAATGAATTTAAGGTAATCTCTGAAAAATTCCATTTGACACTCAGGGGAGTCCCCATAGCCCTGGTCCTACCATTTCCCGTGTTAGTTAGGAAGGTATGGATCCACTGATCCCAGAAAAAAAGAACCATGCACAAAGGAAACCCCACAGGATCTTTCATTGATAACTCAGAAGTGTCCTGTCCAGCATGGCTATTTCCAGGAGGAAATCCCAATAAAAGTTATAGCATGTGCCATCCAACAGTATGAAGGACTAAATAATTAATTCTGTTATCCGATCAGTGGCTCTTTGGAATCGTTAGCCATATAAACAAGCCTCATTTACTCAGAGCTGTTGTGATGAATGGTTAAAGGTGAGGTTCTTACATTATAGAGCTCTGAGGATAACTTTCTGCTTATAGAATTCCTTCCAAACAAAGAAAGGGGGAAGAGTGCCCTTAAAAACGATTACTTGTGATTATATTTTAATAGCAACTCAGATGGAAATAAAAAATGAGAGGTGCCAGCAGCAGCACACCCAGCCCTTCCTGTCTGACATACATTCTGTCTCACTCATCTTGTCCAACCAACCAGTCAATACATCAGAGAAGTGTCCAGCTGGTGAGGATTCAAAAGACTTGCCTTGCTATTGGTTTTTTCTTGTTACTTTCTAGGTTTACAAGATCAGTAGTTATTTTAAAATCTGATCATAGTCTGTCATAAATAAAATATTCCCTCCCTTACTACAAAAGAAAAGCCTTGAAAATTACCCCCTCCCCCAAAAAACACATGGGGTAATTTCAGTACTTCTCCAATAAAACACTCACTGGTCCCATGGTATAGTGGAGCTGGTACTTTGTCAGCCACACCAACAGTGACAATCTGTATTATTTCACTCACATGTACTTTTTCAACCAAAACATACAATTCAGATGCCAGACAACTGACGGCTTGTTCCTACCATTCCTCTGCCCTTGCACACCCCTTAATTATTGGTGGCCTTCACAGCTTCTGCCTTCAGTCCATTTCCTTCTTACCCTAAAAACCTTCAGGGGCAATCTCATCCACTCCCGTAGCTTCAACCACTACCAGAGGCTGCCAAGCCCCAAAGTGGTGTCTCCAGCCGAGACTCATCCCTGTGCTCCTGACCTGTTTAGCCATGAGAGTTCATCATTTCTCCTGAACCTGTCTGCTCCCATTTATGCCCTCTTGCTGAGTGGAACCCACTAGTTGACTATACCCTCCCAGTAGTCACCATTTCTTACAGATTTTTGCTATCTGAAAATCTGTCACATCCAACCTCTCCTCTTCCGGATCTTGGTTTAGTCACTATCATCTCTCTTCTGGATCAGTATAATTACCTTATAACTGGTCTTTTAAACATCTTCCTTTCCACAATGTCAATCTGGTCATATGCTAACCCTTCTCAGACCCCTTCACAGGTTCCTCCTGTACACAGTTACAGTTCAAACTTTTAAGGCAGTCTACCTCAGGGTCCTCTCTTACTTCTCTCTTTTACTTTGGAAAAGCCCATAGCTTTATACATTTAAGCAAGTGCATTTCTTGCTTGATAGCTACAAAGGCTCTACTTTACTAATTTTATTTCTTTCCTTTTCTTTCTTTTTTTAAAAAAATAGGTTCTGGTTTAATATTGTCTTCTCGATCAATCCTTTCCTGGTTTCTCTCTTTATCATTCTCATTTCTCAATACTCCTACCATGAACCTGACCACTACTTCTTTTTCGTCTTCAATGAATTCTGATTTCTAGAAGAATGTCCATTTTATTTTAGGGCATCTATTTGTCTACTTCACTCTACTACAAGTACTCAGAAGGCAAGGGCTGTGTCTTGCATGATCTCCACCATGTAGCAAAACTTGTAGCACATGGTAAGTTCTTAATATTTACTGAACAAATGGAGTAACTTCCAAAGTCAACTAGTCAATTGGCTACTCTTATAGCTTAAATGTTACTAATTAAAACTCTGCCATCAATCTGTATCAGAATTACATTAAAGTAAAGGTAGACTCGAGGGAAACATTCTGCATTATGGCCATCCTATGGAACCATCACAAGTTTTATCTAGATTTAAGAGGAAAATAATAAAAGAGCAGTGAGAACATTACCATTTTCAGGGTACATCACATTTCTTGAGAAAGGGGAAAATGGAATGGCCGTATGTTCCTAATTGTTTGAGTCAAAGAAGATGGGGCACCAATAAATGGAAATATGCTTGGATAGAAGCTCATGGTGGCTCCACAAGAAATACTGAGTCTACTCATGACTGGCTATAAACAAAACTTAGCTTTACAGTATTGCCAAGTTATTGTTCCAAAGCCATCAACTTATCTTTAATTACCAATGATTCTCTGTCCTCTTAATATGATACTTGCTTTCAAATATTGTATGATGTTAATGATGCATTAAATTGTTCAATTTTTAAAATTACTCTCTTTAGTCCTAACCCCATCACTTCCATGCCCCTTTATCTTACCCTCCCATTCTTTTAGTAACATCCCCATGTTATACCTGATGTACTTATTAAAGGCATGTTTAGGTAAAATTGCTCTCTAATTCTAAAATCCTATTCTGTGGTGACAGATATACACTTTCTATGGCCCTTCTTACTCACAAGTCCTTATTTTAAATTATTAACAGTATAAAGAGTGAATGGGTTTTCAAACCCATAGAAATACTCATGTATTGGCTTGTTCATAATCTCACTCTTTCCATCCCTCCATTTTCCTGTATTTTTTTTTTTGTGGGCTACAAATTACCTCTGTCAGCGATGAATAAATAATATTATATTCAAAAGAAACTTTCCTTTTTCCTTCACATTACTGAATACCAAGAACAATACTTCTGCAACTTCTTCTCAACATTAAAATAAAACCTACATCATTTTCTTCTTAACAATTAGCAACCTATGCAGTCTTCAGTGTAATCTCTCTCAATAATATTGTCTTAGCTTTGCAACATTTAGCATAATTAATAAACTTAATTCACCCTTAGAATAACATTAATTCTCTGTTTTCTACTTGGTACTAATGAGCCTCCATGATATGAGGGCATCCCTCCAGGGGATGAATAAAGAAAGGGAGGCTTCATTGTTCATCTTGAGCCTGGCTCTTTCCTCCTACAGCTTGTAAGTCACTAATGTACACTCTGCTCATGTTCTCTACCACAATCATGTTACTCACATGAAGGCACATCTTGAGAAACTGTTCTGCACTATGGAGTTATACAGTTATCTGACAATCAGAAGCTTTACTATCTTAGAATAAGAGCAAAGCCTTAAAATATACAAAGGAAACTCTGAACATACATCTTCTTTGATCTTTATAGAGTTCATTATTTGGTGCTTGAAGACTAGTCATTAAATGCTTACTCTGATCATTATATCTGAGTCTTAGCACAGAAAGACCATTATGCTGGACATTCTTTTTCTATTTATTTGTACTCTATTTTATAACAGTTCTGGATTACAGAAAAATTACAAAGATATTACAGAGAGTTCCCATATATCCTATATGCAGTTTCTCCTATTATTATTTTTAGATAAAGGGTCTCACTCTCTCTCCCAGGCTGGAACTCCTGGGCTCAAGTGATCCTGCCACCTCAGCCTCTCAAGTAACTAGGACTACAGGTGTTTGCCACCACACCCAGCTAATTTTTTTTAATATATATATACAGGGTCTTGCTATGTTGCCCAGGTTGGTCTTGAACTCCTGGCTTCAAGTGATCCTCCTGCCTCAGCCTCCAAAGTACTGGGATTATAGGTGTGAGCCACTGTGCCCTGCCTCCCCTATTAACTTTTTATGTTATTATGGTATATTTGTCACAATTAATGAACTAAT